ATTTTATTATTATTTACAATTATTTAGATAATTGTAAATAATAATGATAAGAAAAAATAATTTACATTCTTTTTTATACCCACTTTAGAGTAAGACTATGAAATTGAGGGGGCATCCACCTGTGGCATCAAATGTGCTCTTGTTTGTATTCAATAAAACTGAAATGAGATCCTTTGCATTATTGCCATTAATGATAGCTAAAATAAATACTAGTCTGTGATTTTGAATGTTACAATCTGGGTCATTTTCTGAAACATTGAGAAGCAACATGGGAAGAGAACATAGGAGATGAACTAGTTTTGACACTGAGAGAACACATACCTAGCAAGCAAAAGTCAGAGAAGGAAAAGTAGGAAAGGGAATGAAACAAAACAATATAAATTCACTACAATATATAATTAGTTTTATACCATGAGGACTGAAAGTGAAATTTAGCTTGCATATTTCTCTAGTTCTTCTGTGACCAAGCCAGAAAAAAACAAAAATCAGGTAGTTTGTCTGACATGGATTGACTGGGAAGTTTATCCAGAAAGCTTGTACTCTTGTGTCTTCTTACCATGAAGGAGAGAGGAGGCTGAAGGTCTGCAACACACTATACAAGCATAAACTTCAAAACAGATATCAAGGTGTATGTGGTGGTTACCTCTGGTTGTGAAAAAATTGTTCTGACTTTTAGGAGTCCAAGCAACTAATGGAAATTACTCCAAAGATATTCTCACATTAGCTTAGTTCTAGACTTGCTTTTCATCCTCTCTCTGTGCTGCAAATCACAGACAGACTGAAAACAATAAAAAAAAAAAAGTTGTCTCTAGTTAGTATTGTATCTAAAGTGTCCAAAACTAAAGATTCCATCTGTTAAAACTACTTAAGCAACGCCTTTACTGGTGAAAATACGTGCAGTCTGCCTGTTTCAGCAGTACCATTTTGTGTGGCCCAAAGCAAGGCTTCATGTCCACACTGGTTTTGATTTCTCATCTCAATATTCCTTTTACTGTCACTGGCAGGTATCAGCAGCAACTTGGCAGAAAGGCACCAGATCCAGCTTGTGATCCTGACTCAATTACTCTTGTTTTTCTGGTAGCTTTGCAAGAACAGGTTTAAATGAATTTGTGAGTTGGTGGGAGGTCATGTGTTCTAGGTTTCAAATGCAGCTTAAGGTTTAGAAATACTTATTCCATCAGTTGTCTGAAAACATTGATAGAAGCATCAATTGAGAGCAAAAGTTCCTCTCTGATCTTTGTAGAAGCCAGAAAGTAGGTACTTTCAAATGGGAACCCTTATCTCTTACAAAGCAGAGGTTCTTGTTCAGCTACAACTAAATGTTTGTTTGTTTGCTTTAAAAAATTAGATTTCCCTTGAAAAACTATGGTTCAAATTAAGAAAAAAAATATTTATAAAACTTAAAAGCCAGTTTCAAGAACCTCTGCACTTAAAACAAATTCTTAGGGTTTTAAAAATCCATAAACACCATGGGGTTCTTGCACTCCTAATTACAAATGTTTAGATTTTGGTGTTCATTTCCTCTGATTGAAATACTGCAGGATGAATTATTCATCCAGTATATACAGGGTCATGGAACTTAATCCCCTCCATTTATTTTAAGTGAATGTCATGTTTGTAAAATGTGCCAGATTGACAGACAAGAATCAACCCTTCTGATAACCTACACTTTGTATCTAAGGCTGTTTGGAAATAAAAACACTTGTGTCAGGACTATTAGGCCAAGTCTTTCACAGATGAAAGTCAGAGATGAAAATTTGGGTGTTGGGATTTTTTTTTTTTTTTTTTTTTTTTTTTTTTTTTTTTTTTTTTTTTTTTTTTTTTTTTTTTTTTTTTGAGTAGCATGCTTTAAAATTGTATAGAGTGAGATTTTCTCTGTCCCCTCATCTTTTAATTTGGGTCAGATGAAGCCTCTGACTGCTTTGTGAGTATGGCTCAAATCTCCCCTGAGGCAGAATTGCACTCTGTGCTGGGCCAGTTCCTACCCATCCCAGTGCAGCCTGCTTGGCTGAGGGCATCTGTGACATCCACAGAATCATGGTTTTGAGTGGTAAAGCTTTGTAGCAGTGCAATAAAAATAAGAATGATTCACCAATTCAGTGAGGCAGTGATGACAGCATTGGTGGCCTCTGACAGGTTGCAGCTGGTGGTCCTTACACAACTATCTCTATGTCCTGCCCTCAGTAGTTGGGGCAAGATCTTTCTGACATTCAGAATAGACAATAAAAATGACAGTTTTCACAACTTTATTTTGAGTAAGATAGTGTGTGTGTGTAAAAGGATTGTTCTGGCTGCTATAAATCTGTATAGGTATTTTTTAAAATTAAACTTTTACAAAAACTAGTGAATCTTTAATCAATTTCCATCTGTTTTATCAACAACAACCCAAGTGGCACCTACAGTATGATTCAACAGGAAACCTGGGCTTCTTAATGAATTATAGTTTGAAGACTTTGTGCCATAAGGCCACAGAACATATGTGTGATTGGATCAAATATTTATCAATAAGCCTGTTGATAAAATATTTATCAATAATGTCTGCATTAATGTGAGGTGCTCAGGAGCTCAGATTTGCCTCAGATCATGAAAAGTCATCTTGTGGTTGCTGAGGAGCCCCTGGTGGCCTTGTCTGCAGGAGATGCAGTAGGCTAGGACATTGCCTGGCACAGATCTGCCCTGTACCTACTAACACATCCTTCCCAAAGCACAGCTAATGGTTCACAGAACATGAGCATTTCTAATGAGGAATCCTACTTAAAATGAGGCTTCCAGGCACAGCCTTGAGCCCCCTGCCTGGGAGTGGGAAAGTCCAAAAAACCTCTTTTGAGGTCTAGAAGCTGAAGGTTTGTGCTGTCTCAGTGGCTATGAGACTTCAGGGATTTGTCCCATAGATTTTCTCCTTCCAGCACCCACCCCTTCATGGTTTCTCTACTTCTCTGTGCAGAATATGTTTGGGTTGTGGCTCTTGATATGCCAGCATTACAACCTGGCTTCAATGGCTCTACTGCCTCTGTGCAAAGCTTTTGGTTGATGCTTGTTACAAAAAACAGAGGTGCTAATTTTTATTTCATGTTTGCACATTGGAAAAGCAGCTTTTTAGGGCCACACTTTTTATTTCCAATGAATTCAATGGCATAATTTTCCATGTGATTCAATAATTTTACTGATTTGCAGTGCAATTATTTACAGGTTTGTATTAATTAGTATTGTTGCAAGCACGGATATTTAAAGCTGAGGCTAAAGTGTAATTGAGTCACAGTAGGGGGCACGTAATACAAGTTGCTGGTCAGATCACATATTTGCATTTTCAAAAGAATAAGGCAAATACTTCAACAAAGCATTTACTTATTTTGAATGACAATAATGTTGCTGCTGCAGCTGTATGTTTTGTCTTAATTAATATTCCTACTGGAAACTTGTGACCAGCATCCCATTGCTGTCTCCTGCTGCTTTAGATTGCTGTACAGGTTTATATTGATAGAGTCCAGCAGAATTACTACTCTCTTTCCAAAATGACAATGAGAGGATAGTCTAGGCAGTGGAACTGTGAGCTACACGGGTAGGAACCTCATGAGCCTGAAAATAGGCCAGTGCCCTTTATAAAGGTAAATACTAGAAATCAGGCAGGTGCAATCCAGGCAGAAATTGAACAAGTGAAATGTTAATACCATGTGAAATTTTATCAGAAACAAAAGTCTCTTTATTTTTTTAATTTTGCACTATTCAGTTTGCGTCCAGTTGTACCTTATGATGATGCTACAGGATTTGCTGAATCAGTGCTCTTCTTTCATATCCAGATAGGAAAGATTTTTGAGAAAAAATGCCACCCCAAATCCTAAAACAAACACTACACACATTGAAACTTAAGCAAGATAAATGATCTTGGTTTGTACCTGTTGTGCCGAAGAAACATTTATGGGTGTGAAACAAACCACCAAACACTTTTTTAGTTAAATGAGGAGTCATTAATTGTGAAATCATAGCATAGCTGACTGAAGGACTCTCCCTTCTCTATTTAAATAGAAACCCTTCTCTCCAGCCTACAGAAGGACCTAGGAAAATAGCTTGCAGGAAAGGACCCAGCCCTGCAATTGTTTTGTGCAAGGAAGCCCTGTTGAAACCAGGAGAAGCTATGAGCAAAGAACATTTGCAAGTTTTTTGTCCCAAGCATCTAGAAAACAGATTTTTAAAAGTCACCATCAATAATACTACTACTATAGTTCTGACTAATGCCCTGAACAAACAGTTAGCAAAGAGTTTCAGATGTTCCACCTCCCCCAGCCGCCGTCACCTCTTCACTCAGGGAGTGCCTGCACCTGCCCATGGCAGCTCAGCTGAGCCCACCCTCCTTGGGGGCCAGGAGAGGTGAGGCACAGGGATGGGTCTGTCTCTCCTGCTGCTGGGATGGCTGTAGTCACTGCACACCCAGCTTAAAATGCCACAGCACTCCCCAGCAGGGCTTGCAACAGTGACCGACACTGAAATTTGGGAAAAGTAGGTAAATGACACAGTGCATCTACTCCAACCTGTGCAAATCATTGCCAAGTGCATGAAGGTGCTCAGTGAGAGAGGAGAGACTCATTACAGATCCCTCCAGTAGCTCTCAAGTGTAATGATTACATGCAACCATGGATTCCCTGAACAGCAGGAGTCCCTGAACAGCAGCTTGCAGGAAGGTAGGCAGGTGTATGGAGACCTTAGCAGCTCCTGCCCTGCTCTTGGTGTGTGTTTCCTTATCATCTGCTGGTTGTCCCTGTCTGGGACAGGTTGCTGGGAGAGGTGTGAAGCACTGATCACAGTGGGGTAACTGGTCCTAAAAGCAAAGCAGAAGGGGCCGCTAAGACCCTGAAATTCTGGGGAATGGTTTTGGTTTTCTCTCCTAGTGTCCCCGCTGGTCCTAGTTTTGGTACAAAGCCCAAGCAGGATCCGAGGGCTGATTTTCATGCCAGATCCAGTGTGTCTTACTCTCAGAAATTCTCTTCCTTTCCCTCTCCTTTCAGGCACCCAATGGCCTCCCAGCCGTCAGCAGTTTCGTGTCCGCACCGGCCATGCCTCCCTACGCCACCCCGGCCCAAGTGTCACCTTACATGCCGTACAGCGCCGCTCCATCCAGCTACATGGCGAGCCATGGCTGGCAGCACGCTGGGGGCACCCCGCTGTCCCCCCACAGCTGCGACATCCCCGCCTCGCTGGCCTTCAAGGGCATGCAGACTGCCAGGGAGGGCAGCCACTCTGTCACAGCCTCTGCCCTCTGATGCAGGAGCTGGTCCAGGAGCACCATGAGCTCGCTGGCTCCTCAGCCCAGCTCACGGAGTGCTCTCTTCGTGCTGGCCACACCTGGCATTTCTCCTCGTGACTTGTCTCCCCTAAGGCTTTTGGGATTAAAGAGCTGAAGACAACATCAGAAACTGAGAGAAGCATGGTGTTGTACTCTTAAAGACTTTGTGTCCCTCAAAGGGCTCGTGGAGCCTTGTTCCACTCTCTCCTGGTCAAACCACACATATTTATTCTTAATCATCGAAAACTTTCTAAATGTGCAATTGTTATTAAGATTTGTGCAAAAATCAATAAAGAAAAATCACCACAGAAAATTCTGCTATGCCTTGAATCAACAAAGGTGGCTGAATGGGAAGTGTTTGCCAAATGCCTAGAGAACAACCATTTAATTGATGAGATTATACAATCCACTGTTATTATGAGGTCCTTTATTGTTGTTTTATTGGGTTTTGGTAATCAAATATAGAATGAAGGCAAAAGGTGGCTTTCAGATTCTTCTGGCATGTTGCCATCGTCAGGCAGTAGTAAGATCTTTGTGATTTTATCATTTTGTAAATAGAGGCTTTTGACAGCATTTGTTTTCACCTTCCAGTACATTTTTTACCTTTTTCTTTTTTTCTTTTTCTTTCTTTTCTTTTTTTTTTTTTTTTAAAGTTATTATATTTTTTTTTTTTTTTTTTTTTCTTTGCATGGTGGGGTGATAGGTGATGAGGTTTAGGTGGGGTTTTTGGTCATGTTTTTGTGCCTACAGTGGAGGCTTCAACATCTTATGAGAGTCATTTCTTTGGCAGAAGAGTCAAAGGCAGAAATCCAGCTAAGTAACTCTCCAGTTCTACCCAGCCTCCCAGATTCATGAAACACCACATTCATATGAAGTGTACAAATAGAAATGGGTGGAAAATACCTGAATAAAACAGAAAACTGTAGAGGAAAATGCTGTTAGTATGCAACCTGTGCAGAGATGCTTAAAAAGCCCTATCAGTCAAAAACTCCACTGAGAAACAGAATTGTACCATCATTCTGAGCTCACTTGTGTCCAGATTACGTTGTAATTTTTATAGAGGACCTTGTCTTTAATTTCTGCTTTAATGAATGTAAAGTATAGCTCTTGGTAAAGTTTACATTATTGTTCTGAAGCATTTTTTTCCCCCTTATAGGTATCTGGTGGTGGTGCTACAAACAGAGATATTATTTAATATTAGCAAATTTTCTTTCTACATTTCTGTATGCAGTGGCAAGTACTCCATGCCAGTTATTTTGCTTTAAACTTTAATCCCAAGAGAGCTAACATTCTGATTTTGAAAATTTACCTGTTTTCCTTGGGCAACAATAAAGTTCTGACTATTATTATGCTTTTCCCATGCTGTAGGTATGTTCAGAATATGAATGTGGAAAAAAAAAGCCTGGTGTGACATTTCATATCCATCATAGACTATTAATATATTATGTATTTTTAAAAGTGTTTTGCAATAATTTAAATTACTGTAGACATAGTTAAAGCAAAGGAGAAAATACTATTCTTCATATGTTGTTCTATCTGCAACCCATATTAAACACTAATTCAGTGGGAAAGTAAAATACATTTCCCTCATAAAATATAGTTATCTTCTTGTGGATTTCCAGCTTTCATCACCAAGACACCCGTGGGTAAATTTTCATAACAATTTAAGTAATCAATATTTATGTCATGTACAGTGTGTCCATTGAAATATGGATGGACTTCTCTGGCTGCCGCCACCTTTGCTTCTTGCACTAAAAAATTGTTAACAGATTTGCATTTCTGTAAAGAACACAGATATTGTATTTTGGCCTCAAGGAAACAAAGATCTGATCTTGGATGTGATTAATTTTCTTCAGCCTCAAAGGCATCCAACAGCTGTTCAGTTTTAATGAGATGATGAAACCCTCGTTATTCAGTGGAACACTTTTTCAAGAATGTTTCTTTGAAACCACTAAAGTGCAAACAAGTGCATTTCCACTCTGCCACACTGTTAGTGACATGATGAATGTTATTCTGCCTTTATGCTGTTATAGCTGAAATAAGATGAGCCTTAACACCATGAAAAAGAAATCACTTTAATACTAGACAAGCTCTTCACTAAAGACAAAATGGGGGAAAAAAAATAAGAAAAGGATCATAAGTAGATAAGTGATTAAGCTGGCAAGAGGATTTTAGCTTTCAACTTAATTGTTCTACTGGATTACAGAATTATTGAATGCGTCTACCTATTGTTTTCCACAGAACTCAAACAAGGGGTACCAAAGGGAAAAGTAAACAAAAAACTAAGGAAGAGAAACTTTTCAAAGCACAGCTTTTTTGAGCTTCAAGACTTTGCAAGCCTGTAACAAATTGTGCCTGTGTTAAAAGTTTTCCTGAGTAACATGAGGTCATTTCTGGAAAAAAGTTGTCTTTCCTGACATTCCAATCAGGAATTAGTGTGTTTTGGGAGACAGAGAGATAGATCCTTAGCTTGTATGAGTTGTTTTCATTATCTTCAGCAAAACCAAGATAAATTATAAAACAAGGACAGGACATTATGTTAATTATTCCTCCCATGGGATACACCATCATAAATAATTTTATTTTGTGTTTGTTTAGGTACAGCTGTCCGTGCATCTGCCTGCTGTACATGATACCTTACCCCTGAATGGGAAGTCAGCAGGGCTGCATGTGTTGCTCAGAATGAGCAAAATTGCCTGACCTTGGCTCTTGCTGAACTGCCTGTGATGGATTTTTTTGGTGTGAAGTTTCACATTATTTTTTTAAATGTAAACCTATGATGTAGAATACTCCTTTGCCCAAGGACTATTTCACTGCTTATACTCATGGGTAAACTGAAAACTGCAAAATGTTCACTTATCACACAACTCAAAACCATTTTACATTAAGTAAAAAAGAAAAAGGGAATTATTTCCTAAAAAAAAAAATAAATAAGGGTTAACTGCTGCTGTCAAGTACCAGGGTATAAATCTGGAGTGAGCCCACTGACGTGAATGGATACTTTTGGGAAATAATCTGTATATGTGGGTACAGAACTAAATTTTTTGATACTTCATTACCAGAATGTTAAATATTTCCAAAGAAATCAGTGAAGCCTAATAATACTCCCTTCAAACAAACTGTGTTTGCATGGTCCCAGTTCAGAAGATCTTTCAGAAGGTGTAAAACTGAATTTCAGCCCACATTACACATTAGGAGTAATGGGGCATTGGGCTGGCATGATCATAGGCTTGTTTTCCCACACCATGCTGTTTTCTGTTTTTGAATGTTTCTGCTTTTACCCAGGATCAGGCTGAGCTATTAACTGAAAAAAAATCACGTTGGAAAGGATGTAAACCAAAGGCTATATATGTATATACAGTATGTTTAAAACATTTTATTTTTATATTTTGAATGCTCTAAATTAATAAAAGACAAATTATAAAGCATTTTGCTTTAGTTTCTGAAATTATCTTAGTAGTGTCTTCTCTTTGGCCAAGTACTGATAATAAAATGCAACAACGAGGAACACTTGCCTTAAAACCATAAACTTTAAGAGAGCTAATTGTATTGATTTTTAGCTATGAAATAGCATAGGTACAAAAAGCCATCATTGCCAAATTCAGACAAAAGAGAGACTTACTAAGCATGTTAATACAGGCATCCTTGAAAGCGCTGAAAACACATTTCTATCTTTAGCCTTTTGTTGCTTTTTCAATGCATTAAAAAGACTTCTCAGATGAGACTTCACATGTGAACTGCCATTTTCAAGTAACAATGCAGAAAGGTACTTCTTTGGGATTGCCAAGGGAAAAGTTTGTACCTCCTTCAGAGGAAGAACATTATTGTTAACAGAGTGAATGTAGTATGGAAGAAATACTGAAACTTTGCAAGATATATGCCCATTTGACAACAAACCAAGTTAGATAATTAAGGCAGTTTCATATTTTATATATATATATATAATATTTTATATTTTTAAACAGAATAATGAATAATTTAAAATTATTTAAGGAGTTTTTAAAGAGAAAATGTAGAATGGCACATCTGCATGTACAAAAACTATGTCTTCAGCCAGCATAGCAGAATTTACTGTTTCACAGAGTTGGAATGGCTAGTAAGAACACAAGTACATCCCTGGAATGTTTACATTTACAGTAACTGGGAAAAGCAAAAAATTTTAGCTTCAGAGCAATGTTTTTTTTATATACAGAAATGTACATTTCTCTGAGGTGTATGGCCAGCTACGTACAACTGCAGATGTGCTACCTTGTTTCACCATTCCATGGTGGAAATGAAAGGTTAAAGGGGCAGCCAGGGTGCACTGAGCATTTTTATCACAGGACAGTCCTTTTGGGATAGTATATCAAAGTGGATAAAAAAATTGCAGTAACAACTCATATGCCTAAAATTACTTTTTTTCTGTTAATTCATTTACTCATTTCTTCTATGAATCCCATGTTGGTTTGCTTTTTTTATGCAACTTGATAGATATTAATTACCTTCTGTATCTTCTTTGATCTGAATGAGATTTATATAATATATATGGCTAAGAACAAGTAGGATATTTAGCAGTATGCATGTTTTTAAGGTTGTGGCTACTCGCGCTGTGCTTTTATAGCCGAACTCCCAAAAACTTGAAAATGCTGAAATCATACTGGGCTGAATTGAAACTGGACCCAAGACTGACTGAAGAGTTGTAGAATATGAATATTTTCTTAATGTGGAGTCAATGGAGCTGTCAGTTTACATTAGCTTAGTATCTGTCCCCCCCAAGGTTATTCCTTTTTTTCTTTAAAATACCCTGGAAGTTTTTATCTTGCCATTTCAGCAGAAACTGAAAACTTTAAAAAGTATATGATTACATAGGATGATTCTGTGTTAAGAAATTTCAGTTTGTCCTTTAAAAACTCACAGTCTAAAGTCTGATTTATATTTTCTCTTGGTCCAGCAAAACAATTACAAATGTCAAGTGCTATTTAATTATGCACTTACAGAAAAGCATGTACTTAAATGTTTTCTTGGATCAGGACCTAGAGACCACATTTGTCTGGAACTCTATGAACATCAGTGCAATCTGAGGGTATTCAACACTATAAAGGATAAGAATCACTTTTCCTTTATTATAGTGTATTTTAGAATGCATATAATTTTAAAGAGTACATTTTTCAAAAGTGCTACTTGTGATTAACTGTGTCCTGAAGCCATGCATAAACGTATTCATAAACCAAAAGCATCACTGCGCCACCTGGAAGAAAAGATATTATTTTATTACATAGAAAATCCAGTGTTTTCAAGATTTTATAGAGCATTCCTAGTGTAACATAAACAAGACTATGGCAAAGCCTTTTTTACAAAATGGATAAGTCTACTATTTCCTGAGTTCACTAAAATTTCAGAAATTCATAAACCATACCAGTTTTACTTAATATTAGATCATAAAGTTGATGTAAATAGCTTGTATAGTCAATCAAATTCACCCTCAGTGTGCTTTTTCCTAATACTTTTTCAAGATTAATGTTTTCCTTTGTTCTTCTAAAAATGAAACTTTTAGTCTGAATATACATGTATTTAGTGGCTGTTTAACAAGATTTGGCCATGAAAGAGCAACTTGACTGGTGGAATGGCAAAAATTCATCTTCAGGATGATAAAAACACTTCCAGGTAAGAGTCAAGAGAAGTTTTTACCATGTCTAAAGCAGAAAATCAAGGTGGGGAAGTAAGTATAATCTTTCCTGGCTACAAATCCACAGCTAAAGTTTTGATCTAATCAAATAGCATTATTTGCTAGAATTTGTAACAGTATAAAATCCCAGCTTGAAAGCCATAAAATATCTTTACTGTTAGTGAAGCCAGACCATAACTAGGCTGTATTACTGTGTGAGATAAAAAAAGGGGAACATTTCAGAAGGAATATAAATAACTAAAACACATAGAGAAGCTTCTAGTTGGAGAACATGGATATAGAGAACCAGGCTGCATGAGTAAAAATATATTATTTGTGAATGCCAGCACTGTGGCATAAAAATATCTTCTTGCCTTTGCCTGTTGGTGCAGTTGGCAGCTTGGAGTGGCACCTCTAACAAATGAGGCTTCTCCTGATCTGGGCTCACTTTTCTAGGGATGGGCTAAGACAACCAGGCACACAGAATTACTACATGAGTTTCTCCATATAATTTATCCTAAGGAACTGTTACCAGACTTGAAATTTTCTATGAGAAGGAACTCACAGAAAGCTAGACAGACCAGATGTTTGCAAAAGGCTTTGACCAACAAACAAATCATAGACACAATGTCTAAAATGTAATTTGAACTCAAATCAAGGCTGATTCCAAATCTCATACTGTGTGACCTGTTTGTGTATCTCTTTTCCTGTAAACACTCACATGTTGGAAGAAGAAATTACCTTCCCAGTCACAATAAAGACTGTATTATTGTTTCATCAGAAAGTTAAACCTATATGTTAGTTAGCCAATAGAACTACAAAAGTATTTAGAATGAAGTTCACATGTAACTGACTTGCTGGGTGTGGGCCAGAGTGCATAGTCATTTGTAAGATGGAAAATTTTATTCCAAAATCTGCTGTGCTAAGAGGTACTGGGAAAGCTAAACACTGCCTTCTCTTTGTCTTGTATGCAATCTAGTACCTTTGGAGTGTGAGGGAAAAGGCTTTTAGCTACAGAGCTCCTTGTTTCCCCTCCCCACCTTCTTCCTCACCCTGCACAATAACCAGGCACGGTCTAGTACTTAGCCAGATGGAATGGATGTGCAAACATTTACAGACAAACCTAATGCCTCCTTTATACTGCAGAACAGACTCTGTACCTACTTGCTTTACCTATGTGTGTTCTTGCATATTAAACAACAAGCTTGAACAACTGGAAATACAATTTCATGGGACTTCTGCTCTTTTTTGATGCAGACTGCCTTTGTGGGCTGACAAAGTCTGAGGGCCCAGTGCTTTGCTTTCATGATTAATCAAAACCAGTCAGGAAAAAAAAACAAACTCTAAAAGCCAAAGAAGATACAGCTTTCAACCACTATGCTCCCACATTTGGAGTAACAATTAGTAAGAAAGGGTCAAGCAACAACCCCAGTTTTAAGATATCCTTGTCCTCTTAGTTTTCCAGGGCCATACAAGTCTCTTCCCAGATCTGCTATCAGCTTTTTAGTGTCTGCCCCCATAGAAAATAGGAGAAGAAACTAACTGGAATTTGATATGCTTGAGCTGTGCCTTGACTAGTTGAGTGCATTTTATGGAGAGACTCTAACCTGCATTTTAGGCTGACTTCACATAGGTATGGAATAGTGCTAAGGAACTCAAAAGATCACATTAGAAGGAATAGGAAACTTAAAGAAACTTCCAAAAATTTTACACTTCTGTCATTTGCATGTACTTCGGTTTGTTTATAAACAAAAGAGTTGCACAAACCAGCACTTGGATCTGCAATTCTCTGGTGTATATGTGTAAATTATTTTTTTAGACACATATTTAGCCAAATCCATCTGTTGTACTACTAGGTAATGCTATTTTAAAAATAAACCATTCAAAGTGAAAGATATTTTGATTAATTTATTTGATATTTACTACATTTTCTCAAGAAACTGAAAAAATGTGAAAACAAGAAAAAAGCAAAATAGAAATAACAGAAGGAAAATTACCTGGACCGAGCCTCATGATCTTGGGAAGCAAGCCTTTGTACAGAGCCAGAAATCTGTAGCAGAAGAATAACAAACAAAACATTTCAAACAATATTCTTGCTCTAAAAGAAGAACGGAATTGTAGCATATGTTTGTTAAAATGCTGGCAGAGCACTTAGAGGCAATTATTTGAAATTACACATGTTCAATAGCAGGCTGTATCTGGATTTTAACATTTTACAGAGGCAGATCAGATGAAGAGAAAAAGTTAATCAATGTTCAGTCACAAAAGCAATGTTGTGAGCCTATCCAATCAGAAATATGACTTTAATCAGTGAGATGGGTTTACTTTCAAGACAAGTCTGTTAACAACAGCTTCATATAGGGACAAAATGACTGATATAATTGCATATCAAAGCCACAGCTCAGTCACCACTTGAGAAATATTTTTAAAAGTTGGAAAATGTTATTACCACAAAGATCTGTCCTCAGTTTAATTATTTCAGCAATAATTTTAGAGGTACCGAGGCCTGCATAATTAAAATTAGATTAAATTGAGAAATAGTCCTTTTTATGTTCACATTTTCCTTTTACAAAATGAAAAGTTGAAAAATTTACACATGAGATATATGAAGTATTTACTCGGGGAACATAAATTTTGACAATGTGATAATCAGTTTGTAAATCTTTTGGAGAAGTACATATGTACTAGGAAGGTATGTCCTTGTAATTCTAAAATAAATTTTTAAAATGCTAGATTGGGCTCTTTTGATATGTGAGTTCAGGGTGGCTTAATGGTCCTCATCAAATCTGAAATACAACAACATGGTTTTATGGACCCATATGAACTAAAACAGATATCTGAACATTTTTTAAAATAAGAATGTTTTACCCTTCCTCTTTATAGACTGTTGCCATAGTTTTAAAACAGGTTCTGTACTTGATCTCTCCAGGAACTGGCTGTGGTCCTTGAATCCTACTTTTTGCAACATCAAAAGGAATGTTAATAATTGAGGCTATTGTTCCTGAGACTAGCCCAATTCCAAATTTCCTCAAAAACTCCAAATTTGGATCCTACAAAAAAAAAAAAAAAAAAAAAAAAAAAAAAAAAAAAAAAAAAAAAAAAAAAAAAAAAAAAAAAAAAAAAAAAGGAAACAAAGAATAAAAAGGGAAATGGAAAGACCTGTGCAGGTTAAGCACTATAAAGTAATAAGCATTTAATCAGAAAAATCACACAACACACTCGTGTTATTTTAGCGGAACACATTAGGATTTCCTATGCTGGAACTTGTTTTCTTGACAATCCTATTGGCTATGTTTTTACACATGGTCTAAATTGCTGAAGTACACATTTCCTCACACAGGATTTATAAACACAGTTCATAAAGAAAGACTGGTATGGCATATGGGGATGATTTGTATAATTGGGCTTCACAATGTACTTAGTATTACTGTATCAAAACAGGAGAAATCCAAGCACACTATTAGCTAATTGGCCAGAATATTTTACAAATGACAGCAACTTCCACCATGAAGCCTACTAAAACACTCATTTGTGTGTTGGACCCCCAAATGCTAAATTAAATAAAGACTAATCTCAGTCTGCTGCCATTCCCCTCCAGGTTTTTTACATTTATTTTCACATGTAGCTGATCCACTGTACTGAGAAGTGCTAGCTTCCTGTTATTAACAATCCAACTCGGCACAACGGCAAGAGAGCCTCCACGTTCTGCGCATTATAAACGGTGGTAATTCACTCAGCTAATTGGCTGAAGAATTTACAACAGATTGTTTCTGAACCCTACTATATGCACACGGTTAAAGTTAGAAGTAGATTAGAAATGCATCTAAAAACTTCTTTGCTCACTCACAGTTCACAGTTCAACTGGGTTTTATTTGATCTTTTAGAAAGACCTCCTACTTTGGCATTTCAATGACATCAAAGAACCCAGGGTTTATCTGGGACTCAAAGTCCCTTGAAGCAGGTTTAATCCTATTTCTCTAAGTAGTGGAAGTCACAGGCAAGTGTGTTTCAGAACATTTCCTACTCATATAATTTAGTTTTGCTATTGGTTTTTAACAGGACACTTTTTTGCTACATCAGATTCTTTATATGCAGCTTACTTTTGTCATGAAAGTGCTTTAGTTATAGAAAATCATCATTAAAATAACAAAGGATCTTGTCATGTTATAACATCAGCATAATGTTAAAATAAGACAGTTTTTTGTTTTCTAAACCTGTATGTTCTTAAATGAAAAAGAAACCAAGAAAGAAGTTTTTGTTTCTAGATTAGCAACAAGAAAAATAAATTAAAACTTCTATAATATACATTGGATGAAGCCCATACAGGTGTTAAGAAAGAAATGTCAAAATCAACAGAGCTCTTTATTACTTGCAGAAAATCTCATGCCTTGATTTCACAAAACATGAAACATACTGATTAATAACTTAAAAAAATAGAATCGCTTGTCATCCAAGAATTGTAGCTCTTTTTTAAGCAAAGATCTTAGAAAAAAACCCCCAAAACCATTGATTCTGTACATATGGTGATTTAAATGCAAATGGAATAAAGCCAATGTTTCTAGTATCTAGATAAGAAGACCCCTTTTGCCCAAAAGGGGCAAAACTAGACTCACAAAACTAGACTCTAACCAAATGTACAGTTGTCAACGCCAGTTTTCTGTAACTTGATTTTTTTATCATAAACCTCATGGGAAAGATTTTTCTATGAAAGCCATCAATGTAATATCTGGATAATGTCATTAGTATAAAAATTCAATATAAATTTAGGTGTCAAAAATTAAAAGTAATCTTTTTCTAAAAGCTGAGCTTAGCGACTCTGAGGTTATTCCACTACTCCTTCTGATTCTGTCTTCTTCTAAATCACCTTGGCTTACTAGTTCTTCCAGTCCATTGCACCACATCCACTTTCCACTCTCTCTTCCTACATAAAACTTCTATGTTGGCATGGATCTAAAAGCTACTAAAATAAAACTATTGTCTGCTATTTTACTCACCAAGCTGAACAGACCATCTGGGTTTCCCATCTCTTCTTTGCCTGTGGATGTTCAGAGCCCCTTTCAAGACAATGCACTGCTCAGTGCCCTGGTCTGATGCAGCAGCCCTTGTAACAGGAGGCACCACTGCAGGCTGGGGCTGGCAGTGCCCAACTTGAAATGAGTCCTGCAGTTGGCCACATTTCAAAGAGGGCTTTTAACTGGTGTGAGGAAATTTCATACTGCTGAGAAATGTGGCAGCCACTTGGAAGTGGTAGTTAGCAAAGATTTAAATGAAACTAATGTTTAAAAGCAAATCTAATCATGATAAAAATTGCAAAGTGAAGGCTGCTGGACACCTATCAAATGCATTATAAAAGTAGATGCCATTTGAAAAATAATTTCATTGATGGGGTAGAGGCATAGGTACTAATTCTCTATGGATGGTACATCAATGGCCACTGAAAGAAATCTGGCTTATTCAATTTTCAGTAAACAAAGCACAAGGTTGGCTGTAAATGATCTGTTTAGCAGAATAGACTGAAAGTATGAAAAATTATTCATTATGGATATTTACAACCCACACATGTCATTGATACCATTTGACCACTTAACCTACAATATTTATTGTTTTTGGCAAAATAGGCAGCAAACATCCCTAACTGGGATGCAAATGTAATGCATGATTTAGCTGACAGCTAAAAGGCTCATTCAAAGATTTTAATACATTTTCCACTTATGTTACAGATGATGGACAGCAAATACATAGTCAATAGTCAAAATTATTTCCCAAGTGTAGTATTCTAATTTTTATAATTTATAATTTTTATATATTATAATTTTAATGTAATTGTCAATATTACAAGACTGGCTTTAAGACTTTTTTTCTGGCAAAATATACAAAGTTAACAAACTAGATTTTGTAATGAAATCAAGTATGTGAGAAATCTAGACAAATTAAGAACAGTTTAATATTTTTCAGACTAACTACAAACCAACTTCTACCAAATTCCTTCTATAGGTTTGATAACTGTAAGACTCTAGTACCTGCACACTGACAGGAGAGATTTGTTACAAGTCATAAATTATTGTCAAATACTTCCATTTAGCAGTCACTGAAGTGAAATTCAATGCACATAAGTACCTGAGACATAATGTTGGCTAGCACCAGCCAGATGAGGCCTGATCTATGTCTTAAATTCAGAGTGAGTTTTGCATTGATGTTAATGGGAGTTTGATCAGAATTATTGGCTATATCTCTCTGTACAGACTGTCTATGCCACTGATGCTGGCTGGCCTAGAGAGTCCTCTTAGCTTTATTAGCACTACAGAATGCTATCACCATTCAAAACAGACTGGCTGCATGAAGCCAGCCCATTAGCAAGGGCTCCTTGCCTTCGCTGGTTCCTAAGCCACACCCGGGAACTGTGCTGGCTGGCCAGGGCCAAAGCTGTGCCAGGGAATGTTTAACAGCACAGGCGGCTGAGTTTCAGCGTTGCCACTCCATTTACTAGCACAGATTAGCCACTGTGCAAGCCACCATGTAAGGCACTGTGCACTGGTTAAGCACCAGGCAAACCTCACCAATTATTTGCAGTTAATCCCACACTGATTAAATTGCTTTTTGATTTTGCTAATATTTGAAGACAGCTGGGACACCGGCTGACACTGAAGTGTTTTCCCTTTTGTTTTCTACATATATTTAAACCCCTGTTGTAATGTTAAAATGTTTATGCATTATACAAAATCTGTATAAAGTACTAATTTCCTTTAGATCATAAAGCTATGAATCTTTCTAATAATGTAATACTTGTTTCCTATTTTTTGAAATCTGAAAGGCTAGGAAAGCATACTTATGCCAAACACTATTACTATTCAATTCCTATGAAAGAACATTTCCCGTGATTCCCATAAAAGCTACACACTAGTCTCTGTCCTTACCTGCATATTTTCCTGAATATTCTGTATAGTGATTATAAATTTTTAATCTTTTGATCAACACAAAAGTGTTTGCTCCCATCTTAGTAACAAGCTGTGCCTGTGCCTTGAATTTTTAGAATGTGTGACTAAAGTACACTGTAAAATATGCTTAGATACACTGTAAGAAACTTGTAGAAACTTGTGGGTCAGCTGCTCCTGAACAATTCAATTTACTGTAATAATCTCCAAATAAGAAGTGGAGGTTTTCTCCATTTACACAACGTTGCCAACAAAAATACCAGGCTACTCAGAAGTGCAGAAAAAAAAGGTGTTACTTCATATGGGAATAGAAACCGATCCCTTTTGATGTGAATGGCACCTTCTTACATGTATATCACTACATATTACACCTGTGACTGTTTAACTGTCATCATGTAAAAATCACATTAGTGAAAACAGACTTCAGTAAGTAGCATACTGGAATCATTAATAAACCATTAGTTGTTTCTCACACAGTCATTTAGAAAGTTGCTGATATGACCACATTTTCATTTGTAAAATTTCCTTTTGTTGTAAAGGGAATGTTTGCTTCCTTTGTTATTTAAAGTAATATAGGACTATCAAAATTCTTTAAGTGAAATTACAGCTATAATGATTTTTTAATTTAATTATAAATTATATAAAGTCCCTGTGCATGACTCTTTACATCCTGTTTTGGACTATCTCTCTCCCATAAGGATGAAACTTCCCTGTCATCCTTCAATACTAGGTTGAACTCTCTTTTGAATAAATAGGTCCAGTGCCTGCCCAGAATAACCTACATCCTTCAGCTCAGCCACCTCTGCAAGCTTAGCCCCTATGTGAATACTGACAGAAGTTCTAGAAACTGATATTTCTCTTCTAAGCCAGTTTGCCACAAAAAAATTTGCATACATACCCAACATAAGCACAACATGTCTGTATCTCATTTGCTGCCTTTTTGCACTGCTACCCTGCTATAAAGGGACATTCATAAAAACAATAATTCAAATATGACTACACTCAACTTTACTTAAAAAGTGAGACGATCGAGTCCTTAATTTGCTTCCATTAAAATGCTATGGATTTCTGCAAGACAGAACTAGGTTAGTCACTGTTTATCACTAAATACCACAGCTTTGCACATATAAATAGGGTGTGAATGAAAATGTCAAACTTCTTATCTGATTGTCTATTGCATTGTATGAAGAACTTACGTTATTGACTGGAAGAATGTTTTTCACATTGAAGTAGAATCCAAAGTAAACCATGTTAAAAACTCCGTGACGGCCCAGTGTTGCAGTAAGGCCTTTGTTGAGTCCTTGGAAGCCCAGACCACCGCTTTTAATGATCTGCTGAGCTTGAACAAAGCTAGATGGTTGCTACACAAGTTAAGCAAAAGAAGGAAGAGATCATCTTTGCAAAAAGAAAACAATAAACAAAGCATCATTTCCATGCTGTTGACAAACACAGTGTTCCCAATTCTTGTAATTTTATAATAAGGATCACCATATTTGTTATTTTCTCCTTCCTGTGACCAATAAAAACCACAACTTTAATTAAAAAAAGATTCCTCATTTTTCTGATTGCAGAATAAGATGAAAGCAGGACTTCAGCACTGTAAAAGAGTAGTACTGTAAAAGAGTAGTACTGTAACAGATTTTCATTTCATAAAAGGCAAAAAGGAAGAAACTCCCTCATATCAGACAGAATCTGCCTGACTACATGCATCTTTGATCTTTTTTTGAATATACTGTGATATTCAGGATTACCTATTCCCCTTCTGAATATTTTACATTTTTGGTAGCCTTATAGAAATATTACTTTCAAAAAGTTGTTGAATAGAGTTTGGCTTTCTCCAAAGCATAAAGCAAAAAAAAGCCATAAAGCCATAAAGCTCTGGGTAATCAAATCTATAATTAGAAAGGCAAAACATGACTTCCACTAGGAGGTTCAAACATGAAAATATAGACAAATTTTTTACTACACCAGTATGAATACCACTAATTTCAATACACTTATTTGTTTAATAGCTTTCCATTTCAAAATATCACTGTGGTAGATCAACAGCATCAGACAAATGATGCTACTATATCTGACCCAGCATATGACTGCTTTTTTAGGTGACCAACGAGCTTAATCTTTAATACAAAGTTTCATTTTGTTTTTTCATATTTTGCAACTAATATTACCCTGTTAATGCTCGGCACATATTTTACTAGAGTTTACTTTTCTATCTACTCCCAAGAATTCAAGTCAGAATCTATTCTAAAATGGAGATACTAAACATGGGTACTAACAATAACATCCTTTTTTGTGCTCCAAAATGGACATTAGATCTTTAAGAAATAATACAGCAACCTTCAATATTAAGGTATCCCTTAGTATCCCTTGTCTTGAGTGTGGATTTACTCATGCCTCAGAGGGGAAGCCTATCACTTGCTGAACATCTGAGGTGGGATTAATAAATCCAAATATAGACACATGCAATGTCTACACCTGACTTCCCTTTTCAGTCCTTTAGTAACAAAGAGGACTCTGGCAGCACTTCCCTTTTACCAAAGGAGGTGTCATCATGTCAACTGACCAAGCCATAGAAGGTCTGCGGTTCATCATTGATGATGGAAGGACCTTAGACAGAGGAATTTATTGTACAAACATCTGTAGTTAATGCATTTACACAGCTGTTGACTCTAATTTAATATAGACCTGTTCAGTGGAATCTGGAGTCAGATTCTTCTCATCATACGGCAGAAATTGTATTTGTTTAATTAATCATAACTCTTATGTCAGGTGAGAAGATTTTCATCATCACACCAACTTCTATAGCCAGTGAGTTATCCAGTGCCACAGGGAAAGGGAAAAAAAAAAAAAGAAAAAGAAAATGAAGCAACATAGTGTTGGACTTCTTGCAGTCTACTTTAACAAAAAGCCACCACTATTTTTACCCACAGCAATCCACATTACAAAAGGGCTGATACGTGATTTATAGTGGCCTTCCTCTTTAAATCTATCAACCCTGGAAAGATGATCTGCTACCACAGAACAATTCAGCTGTCACCGCAGGGTGTGAATATTTGCTTTGGGGGTGTGCTGGAGTCTGGGTGTGAGTGTATGTGCTCATGCTCTTCCTTGTTCCTTTTAAACAAGATATATTTATTATTTCTATACAATAGTCAAAGAACTATGTGAACTGCTTTAGGTTTCATCATGTAGTATGAAAGCTCCACAATGGGATAGGTACACACTTTACTTAAACCTTTTAGAAAAACAGTGCATGGTAATGCCTTATGCTGTATAATATAACCTCTGGACATGCTTCTTCCAATGGGCTTGAGTTTACATGCTTTATTGTGGAATGTTCTTTAACATTTTCTTAAAGAGAACTTGATGTCAAAGTATTAAGTCACTGGAGTTTTTTCTAATTTACAGCAAATTTTGAAGTTTTAACACTTTAGAAAGATATATTAAAAATTAACATCTGTGATATAACAATCTTTGTGATTAAAGAACTTAATTTATCTTGGATTTTTCTCCCTAGAGCAAGTAGGTAATATTTTCAATGTAAACTAGGTTTCTAGTAGAGTCCAAATACCATTCTGTCACCATTTTATTTGTTTAATAATATACTATTATTTGAATTTTGTGAAATTTTGCATTTAAATTAAATTAGAGAATATTCACCTGAACAAAAAAACCTCAGAATTATTTTGGACAGCTACAGTTTGATTATTGTATTATTCTGAAGGTGATCAAGTAAGGGATTCTGTAACTAAAGGAAATAATTGGCTAAAATTTACAAACTAAACCACCCCAGACTTTGTTATAAATTTTGCAGTAGAGAAAAAATTAAAACATATGAAGTGAAAGGATACATTGGTCTTTTGCAACTTTACAAGGAATAGTTTGTTCAAAATATAATGGTGGTTTGTTTATACTTAAAAGCAGAGGGTTTTTAAAGCTAGGATAATTACATATTCACAACTGTGAAGCAGAAAGATCAAGAATATCTGCTTAGTTCACTACTGCTGGAGCAGTGATAGTTCATAATTTTTATCACATCATCTTCTTGAGAGACAGATCCTCTCGCATATTGCTTTTTCCTACTTTCAGTCTCTCTCCTTCCAGGATCCTAAACATTTTACTCCTGCTCTGCAGTATTTGTCTGTTTAGTGGCTTTGCTGCCCAAGTTTAAAAATTGTCTAGACTGGGGACTTGCAGCAAATAAATATATCTTTCATATGCATTAAGAACCAAACAGGAGTTTACCAAACATTTTAAAATTTATTCTAGAAGAAAATGCTTTTCTGGGTTACTTATGGAGTAGGAACCAGTAACTTTATGATATTTGGAAATCAGTAGCTGTATTTTTCCAGAGTGTACCTGAGGAACTTGGCCCCAACAGATTATGTAAATGGTCAGGCCATAAATCTCTTTACTGTACACCCCCCAAAACTGTTCAATTTATGCAGACGAGCTCTACAAGGCATGCAAGTACTAACTCAGTCAAAACATTATAGTAGAATATGCAAAAATCATGTCCCACCAGGGATTCAGCCAACCTTTTCATGTGAACGCTTATATGACTTGGCACTTCTACCATGGTACAGCTGATTTCTCAAAAGATTTCTCAAAAGATGATATGACAATTTTTATGTTTATTAAATGAGAAAAGGAAAAAAGAACTTCATTACTGCCTTCCTTCCCTTTATCCTGGAACATGTTCTGCATTAAAATTAATAGAAGCTAGTGTATTCCTGAGAACACTTGATTTTCATGAATCACTGTTTTCCAGTTTAATATTTTTGCCCTTTCAGCAGTACCCAGAGTCATGGACAATGTTTTGTACAATGACTTCTTTGGATGAAACAATATTTGAATAACAAAAGTCTGAAGTTAAGCAAGAATTTAAATTATCAATGTACTTGTTATATAACAATTTTCCAGTTTGTGCTAATAAAAGTGAAGTCTTGTAAGTAATTTCATCCAAGAAACATTGCATAAAATACAGCAGCTGGACTCTGTCTAGGGCACAGGGCCATGGTGTTTTATGCTAACCTTCAGTGCTCACTTGAAATCTGGAGCCTGCTGGGGTAATTGTGCTGTGTCCAAGGGGCTCAGATTTGTACTCCTGGGTTACAATTCCTCACAGTGCTGGGTTGCTGGCTGATTGGGAGAGATGAGGGTGCATTTCAGGCACAGAATATTTACAGGGGAGATGCTGATGCCTCTGACAGTACTGCATGCATCTCTGCATACTTGAAGACATTGTCTATTGGGTCTCTTCCATTTCTGTTGAGCTTGTGGGGAAATCATTTGCATCCACCAATATATTATAGACATTCTGCTCTAAATATGAGCCCCAAAGTGCATTTTGTCCAAAAAAATGGAAAAAGGAGAAGGAAGCAGTTTTCCTACCTCTGTGAAGGAGTTCTGATTGGTCTGTAAGGTAACTTTCACTACTTCAAATGGGTTAACCACAACTGCCTCTGTCAACCCAGATCCCAAGCCAGCAACTGCAAATGCCTAGGAAAGTTTAAATGAAAATTGAGTATTAAGGAGTAATACTTTCTCTACATCAGATGGTGAAACCAAGGGACACAATGCAAACTGCAAAATTACAGTAATGCAGCAGTATTCTATTGCTAAACAACTTGAGCCCTTGATAGATGCTGACAGTTCATGAAGACAATACGACAATAGCCATAAACCATATTCCAAAACAATCAAACCAAAATATCATAGCATTCCATGTCCATGTATTCTCTTTTCAGCTGGAAGGGAAAATACAGTACCAAATGATTATGCAAACATGGAAAAAGTGGCAAAAGAATGTCCTCATGTTATCTTTGGGTAAACTCTGAATAATAACACAAATGTAAGTGCAGTTATGAAGCACTAGAAAAAAAAATCTCTAAACTGAGCATTAAGCACATAACACTAACATATTACCTTAAAATACATGTAAACAACTAAAATAGTTCAGTACTTAAGCAAATGGCACAAGTAGAAGTTCACCTAGTAGTTAAAAATCCTAGAAACATTTATACGGGCATGAGTGGCACATGGGGAAATGTTCATTGCAAGGATGAATTAATTCCATTTACTCAGAAGCTAGTGGCATTTCACTTATAGATATGGAGATATTCACTGCTTTGCTTTCCATCATGGCACAGCATTTTAAAATACCTTCATTTTTTTAAAAGAAAAAATAGTATTAAAATATTTAGATTAATTGAGAAAGTTCAGAGGGGTTAAATTTAATGATCACTTTACACATTTGCTGCCTTCACTTAACATCCCCAAACTCTCTAGGTACTGAAAAAAGTCCCAGGACCAAAATACATTATAATGAATCCATTTGCTAAAATTCAAAGAAACCAATAGTAAGGGAAAAAAACAAGAGTGAGAAAAAACTTACTTAACGCAGAGGGATTTGAGCAAGGACTCCTGAGAGCTCAAGAAAGAGAGGAAGGAAAAGTTAGAAGGGCAGGGACAAGAACCAGTCTTGCTGTCTTTGGAGTGTGTTATTAAAAATTTGATATTTCCAGTAAGATGGGAACATTTCATCATCAACAAGACTGAAGCCAGTAGGAAGATGGTGCTGTATGTATGCATCTGTCTTTTAATAATAAATTGATATGAGGTCTGTTGAAGTACCTAGAAACATTCTGCCTGGCTTAGATCAGGATCCCCCTCAGTCTTTTTTCCCTTCACTACTTTAGGTCCAAAAATGCTTCTATAGTAACAGTAGTGCACCAAAAATGTGAGGGGTTTCTGATTGTTCTAAGCTTTGCTGTATCTGTTCTATGAATCACAGCAGCTTTTGGGCAGCTTGCAAACATGCAATAGTATGTTTACAAGTTTTCAGCCTATTTTTCTTCCTCCCAAAAAAGTGCTGGGGTACCATAGAACCTTCAGCTCTGTTCTTTCCACTTGCTAGAGAACAAGTATCAGTCTTCCTATATACACCTAAGAATGAGAACTGCTGAAAAATACCAGATAAAACAGGAGAGATTGCAAACAGCTATAGGGCCAGTGGAATAATTAAGAGGAAGAGGAAACTTGCTTTAACCTAGTTAATAGAATTCTATGACCATTCACTCACTGCAATTAAAGGGAGATGTAACTGGAAGCAATACTCTTTAAAAAGACTTTAAATTACCAAAACCTTTATAGCACAGCCTTAAAAAGATCAATTGTTTCTTAAAGTTGTGATGTCATCATAATGAAAAATAGATATTTACGATGATTTACATTCTTACACCACAGGAAGCAGTAGCTCTTATAAAAAGTATTTTACTCCTAATGCACAATAGCAGAATTAAGTTCTAAACATGAGAATGCAGTTACACATGCAAGCTGTATCTTTGCATGAAAATATTTCTGTGTATCTGTATGCCCTGCATTTTTTTTAAAACCAGTTATTTCTCAAGATTAATTCCTAACTCCACTAATGGACAAGAGAGTTTTGCCATTTACTTCAAAGGAAGTAGCAATTTCTTACCAATAACTTATGTTTCTTTTATAAAATTTTTAAAATAAGACTGAGATCTATGTGGATTTTTTGCTACAGTTGTATGGTGCCTTGGAGAATATCACTGTGAGGTTGAAGTGTTAAACTAGACATGATGACATGAATAAATAAATATTGATAATGTCTGACTTTTTTCATAATTTTGTAAGAATGAAGAATGACAAGATGTATACTGACTTTTCCATGGTAGCTGTTGTTATCCATGTTCATGAATGTTATGATGTTGTAGGGAATTATTTCGAGGACATTTGATATAAAACATTACTTATCAATTTTGATATATTCTTATCAATATTTTCTTATCAAAGGACAAGTTTGTTTTGAAAAACTGGATTGAGATGGACCCTTTAATTTTGGGCTTCTTCTATGGGAGGAAGCAGATGAGACAGACTGTTCAGCAAACACATACTACATCAAAACACAAAGTTCTGTATCCATACATACCAGTCCTGGTGGCAATGACGCATATCCCAGTAGCTTCTTGTATTGTTCAAAGGTAAAAAACTGTGAATAGAAGGTAGATTGAAATTGAACTGAAAGAAATTATTAGTTACTTTTACAAATTAGTAAAAAGCAGACTACAATGGAGTTTCACTTCCTCATATCCTGAGCAGCTACATGCAGTTCTGCAAAATAAACTTAGCCACTTTTATTTCACACTCTCTGTAGCAGAGTTAGATGTGCAAGAGTAAAAAGTCAGGTTTTGGAACTGATTTAATTAGTGTGTCATGCATAATAGCAGGATAAGTGCAATTCAAGTAATGCTTTATCAAAGAGTTCACTTATATAATATAGGACCTATTTTAAATACATTTTTATAAACATTTTCTCTAGCATTAACTTTCATAAACTAGTTTAAATGTAGTAGTGGATATTACATTTTTCTCAAGAAATTACCCCCATGTCCTTAATGTAATGTGATGAAATTGCTTTTGCATTTCTCAAACACTAGTCTGCTTCTCATCAGAAAGATATAATTGTGGATTTTGAAGATGGAAATTCTGCCATTTTTATAATCTTCTACTGTCAACAGGCACATTTCTTTTCCTGTTCTTTTTTTACAAATGAATCTTTCATTCAATTGTCTGCTTTCAGTGGTGCTTCATATTTCTGAGCATCTGCAATCCCTTAGAGGAGGTCTTGAAGGCCTGTACTCATGGGTTTGAATCTAAAGAAAAAATTAAAATCAGATTCACCTGCACCAACATGGTGAAAGGCAAACATTTGCAAATGGCTCACTTTGCAACTGACCATATCTTGACACTCAAACCCATTAGTTTTAAGAATACCTTCTGTGAATTCTTATAAAAATCAACACATAATAAATGAACGGATTCGTTCTTCCAAGAAGAAAGTTTAGAATAACTCTGATTGCACTGAAGACAGGAGGAAGCTTCTTGTTGGCACAGGCAAACACTTTCACTGCCTAGCTCCTTGTAAGTCTAAGATGCATGGGTCAAGATATACTCTAGAGAAAGAGTATGTGTGACATTTTCAAATTATTGGGAAGATGCCCTCTGAAATACAGTACACAATCGAGGCTACTATTTAAAAAACTTGGAATACATCATATTCAAAACACGGTTATCCAGACCATTAAGGAGAACTTAGAGATTATTTTAAGAATGGAGACTGAAGGAGAGTAACTGCTTTCCTTGTTTAGTTTGCAAAAGAGACATTGCAAGAGAATGAAAAACAAGGAAGATATGTAACATAAAGAAGTTAGGTGTAAAAGCAAAATATACTCATAAGCAGAATGTGGCTGGAGATCTGATGCAGCTTTCTTGCAACTAAAAGAGTCCTGAAACAGTCTTCCAATAAGAACAATAGGGGAAAAATTCTTTATGTTTGAAGGTAAGAGTTTAATAACTTTATGAAGGAGATTATAGAACAAACCCCATAGTGTCTTAAATTCATATTCTGCAAACATGTTACTGAAGCCACTGAACAAGCAATCCAGTTGCTATCACATAAGACAGATCTGAGTCCAGTGAAAATGATCTAGCATGAGGATGGCAGAAATTATGGACTAAAAAGAGTAGGTATCTGAATTCTAGGTAACACCAAAAATATTGGAGGTGTTATTCCACATAATTTTCACACATGGACCAACAGAAGGGCCCTAACCACAGCTTGCTATTTGTGAGTCCTGTAATCTGTCTAAGAAATATTCACATCTTTGCATGCAAAATAAAGAGGCCTTTACACAGCATATCAGGTATGATGGGAATGAAGAACAAAAATCTGTCACAGTTCCACCAAGACTGCATCAGTACAGGTTCATATCTTCTAGTACAAGAGCTTTCACATCCCAGTCTAGCAAAAGTAAATAGCCAGGACTTTTAACTTTCCTGTTTGTTTTCCAATGTTGACCTATAACATCTGATTAGTTCCGAGCAAGCTGGTTCAAATGCAGGTGGGATCCTTGGAAAGTTGGGGAATTCTGTGACCATTGTGTCCACACAACATCCACTGATGCACGAGACAAACCAAACTGTTTCACCACAAGAGGAAGGCAATGAGCCATGAGGCCAATGGAGATGTGGGAATCATAAGAAACATAAGGGAATAGAGTTTTTAAGACGAGAAAGATTGTGTGGCCTGTGCTGAATCTCAGCCAAAGAAGACAAGCTCTGTCCCTCACGGTTCAGTACTACAGACCTATCAGAACAAAACAGCTATTCCATAAACTACATGTACAGGAACAAAAGTAATAAGCAGCACATTTTCATTTGAACTTGTTTAGAACCTTGTCCTATGGCAAAGTCAATAAAATTTTTCAATCAAGACCTGCTTCAAATAAAAAGTCACTGGAATCATACCAAAACCATTGGAGAATTGGGTGTTAATGTGTTAATAATGCCTCTGACTTAAAGCAAGAAGGAATATGTATACATAAGCAAAATTGGGTTGTTAAATTCTGGAAACTGATGGGCTGATACTCTAGTCACTGGATGGATTTTTTTTTTTTATATCCTCAGTTGGGATTACTGTATCATTTTACAGAAAAGGTCCTAGAATTGGGACCCAGATTTTGACTGCCCTCCAAAGAGTGTAAAGATTGAACATTAATCTTGCAAGCATCTTGCAAATATGTTTAAAATTTTTGCATAGGCCTTGACAATAACAAAAAAAGATTGAAGTGTTACTTTAGCTCTATCTTTTTGAAGGTATAATAAAGGTCTAACAAGGTGGGAGGGTAAGCTGCTTCATTGAACTAAATTAATTTCTTATTGTGATAAAATTTGCTTTATTCTCTCTCCAGCATCTTTCTAGACACTGTTACCCTCTCAACCTTTAATGGAATTTCTGGTATTCCTTAATGTTTTCCATAGCGTTACAGATCTGTAAAATAGTTGTAATAAAGGCAGAATTACATTACCCAGCAATTTTTTTGGTCTTTAAAATGTTACCTTAAAAATCAATAGCTTCCTAGAGTCATAAATAAAATAACTACTTAATAGTAACTATGCTTTAAATAATTTTTAAAAGAAAAAAATCAATAGCAATAAAATTTAATAGAAATGTTGCTGGGTGTACTAGAGTAGCTAGTATTCATACAATTTTTCAAGAAACAAAGATTTCATACTGTATCATATGACTTTATATATGTCCACCAAAAATGTTTTTAAAAACACAGCATAATATGTCTTTTCCTCTACAGTTGTATTAAGTTAATAGCTTTGTACAAAGAAAAAATTTCTCAGAATAAACGTATTTAAAACATGCTTTTGTGTATATAGTAACCAATATTGTCCATCTGGCAAAGATACACTTTAATTGAAGTTACACAGAAAATAGCCACAGTACTTACCAGATGTCTCAATAACTCTAAGATAAAAATATATGCTTGAAACAAGATGTCTGGGAACACATGAGCAATATAAATTTGCCCCAAAAGTTCATCTGTTAACCATTGTATTGGCATCATCATTTCTTTCCTCCAAGTTCAATCTAACAGAAAGTTATAAACTTTGACTTTTCATCTTCCAGAAATACCAGCTTTCTTTTTAGAAGGGAAATAAAAAGAGAGAAAAAAAAGAAATAGCAAGACAGACATGAGAACGTAGTTGACTAAAAACGAAGCTGTATCTTCAACACTTAACTGCAAAACTGGGGCTAAATAACTTCATTTTAATAGCTTTATTTTTACTTGCAAAAATACACACCAGATAAATACAATGTTTCAGGAACACAAGTACATTTCTTAGTACAAAATCTCCCTTTTCTATTCTCTACATACTTTTATGACATTATAACTAGAAGCTTTCAAAAAACTTCATTACAAACATAAAAAGAAGCTACTGGAACCTAGAAAATGCCTCTTTTCCTTTTGTACTTTCTCAAATCTCAGAATCATTGGCCTGAATTTCACTAGTCATTTAGGCAGTGGAGAAGGGACAGCTTGAGTCTTGTTTAGCTGAGGAAAACCATTAGAAGAATAAATGTTGGAGGGTGGGCTAAAGGAAGCAATGACTTCAAATAGCCAAATAAGGTTAGTGGAAATCTGAGATAGGCTGGATTCTCTTCAGGTCATAGCATGGGTATGTACAAATTCCACTTTGAATGCTAAAAATTGTACTGGCATATGACATCTTATATTGAATTGTTTAATTATACAGGTTCTTACAAGGGCCTTATTGTTCAGCCCTGTGCTGTCACTGAATTCTTCTAATGTAGAATACAGCTGATGTCTTAAAAAAGTTATCCTGATGTCCTTGGAACAGCAGTAAATTTAAAGGAATAGTAAAATATAATATAGTAAATAATAAAATAATTCAACTATTTAATTAAAATCCTCACATGTTTAGCATTTAAGGTTGATTCTCATGTTTGCAGAAAACTCAGCTCTCACATAAATGTCCAAGAACTTGGTAGAAAGAATCCTACAAAGAGAGGACAAGTAAGACATTAAAGGGGCCTGAGCTTTTTATGTACAAGAGTTTGAGAGAATTGAGTCTGTTTAGCCTGGAGACAAGAAAGCTAAGGTGATTTAATTCGATCTTCCACCATCCAAATTTTATACAGGAGTCAGATTTTCTCAGAGGCTGACAACAGAAGCATGAGAGGCAGCACACAAAGGTTGCAACAGGAGGATTTGGGCTGGGTATAAGGCAAAATTCTTCACAGAGGAGGAGCACAGAGAGGCTGCAGTCTTCATCCTTTAAGATTTCAAAATTCAACTAGACAAGGCATCTGAACATCCTGATCTAACCATGAAGTCAGGTCCGCTTTGAACAGAGATCCTTCCCAACTTAAAATCTTTTCATGATTTTATATTATACTGAATATCATGGGGTTTAAGCCAATTTAATCAATTTGAATAAAGGAAAGTGATTTGAAGTTTATGAATGACTCAAATTGGTAGGAGAAATCAAATGGGTTAGTATTTTAACTAAATATATGCTGGAATCTAAAAAGCACAGTCAGATTTCCTTTATCCTGTTTCAAATGAAATTCAATGGAGAGACAAAAGAAACATCACAATACAAAGAAAGCAAGTTATTAGGAATCTTCTAAATATTACCCATCTATTCCTCACTGCCACTTTGCCATTAAACAGGACTTTAGTTTTCCTTGTTTTATTAAATAGTTTTGAGATAAGTGACATATGTCACTTGCATCTAAAATGCCAGTGCAAACATGAAGATGACATTACCAGAACTCCTTTAGGATTCTGTTACAAGGTCACATCCTGTCACTTTATACAAATATTATTCTTCTGTAAAGGAATTGGAATGTGAATGATTAATTGCAGACTAAGGACCAGAATCATATGCAGCCTTTTTAGAAAGAAGAAAACAAAAATAAAGAAAGGAAAATCAAGACATTCTGTATAATAATTGCTTTTAGACATATTTGGTGCAACTATGGAAACTTCAAAGTTCTGAAGTAAAAGACTAAGAAATATTTGCTCATAACACAATGGCTACTTTGATAGATTTAGAACTTTAGAATGATGTGCTTAATAATTAGGTTTTAATTAAAAAGGTTGAATGGCTCAACTGAAAAAAATTATGTATTGACGTATCTTACTTAGGAATGCTACTAAAATCCTGTTCTACAAATCAAAATAAAGGATAATAAAAGAAAATCAGATCAGCATTTGGCAGAAAATACACTTCAATAGGCAAGTATCTATAACTGTAAGAGAGCTGGAGTAAAATGTTTTGCACAATAAGGAGTTGTATCCATTATAATTTTCAATCTCTTAAAAAGATAGACTACAGAGCAGAGTGCCCTTTGGTGCACAAAAAAACTCTGGGCAGCACTTCAAACCTACTAAATAAGTACTTATTAGTGGCTTCTTTAATGGCTTCTTGTGTTAATTTATTAAGCCATTAGTTGTTTTGCAAGTTGTTAGGCATTTTCAGTAAAACAAAATATGCAAACCAGAGGCAATTATGAGGCAAAAATATAACTTAAAAGATTTTATTAATTCTGTCAATATAAAATAATGACAATTGTTTTTTCAGTAACATTTGATACACAGGTCAAAATTAGCTTAACATTTATGAGACTTAGCCTACACTTCTTAATCAAGGACGGTTTTTATTGTGCTATCAACAGGAAACTTTCCTCCTAGTAAAAATCAGAAGATTAATATGCCAAATAAGTTTAAGATTCTAATCTCAGCCAGTGGGGGAGAAATAAAATGTTTTACAGCTGCCACTGTCCCCAGTTATACTTTTAAGGGAGGAAGCATGGGGTTTTTACCTTCACTGCCCTTTTGGGTGTCTCAGCCAAGACAGGAGGAAGTATTCCTTTGTAGAAGCCAAATAATCTATCGAAGAAAAAAAAGAAATTATTTTTGTATGGATAAACAATTTATCAATAACATGCTACCAACTCTATTTTTGCTTTTGAGTAAAGCAGCTAATCTTTCAGCATTTCCAGGCATACAGACAAATAATGATACTCTCTGTTTACTTGTTAAACAACTACTGTGCTACCAATTATATGCTGGTGAGACGATATAAAGAAATCAGCAATGAATATGTAAAAATTCAATCAATTTTTTCTGAAATACAAGAAATTGTATTTTAAAAGTGGGGAACATTTTTGACAATGAAAAAGAAGTATTATTCCATTGTTTTAATTTGCTTAGCACAGCAATGTTTGTATTAAAAACTGAATAGAGATTTGGAAAAACCTGTGACTTCAGCAAGCTGCATACAAAACCACTGCTTTCTCATTTTCAGATGCTAGCTCAGACATATTTTGAAGTTTAATTTTAAACATGACTCAAAATATAAGAAGCTTTTTTCTTTTAGCAACTTAGATTTAACTCAAGTTACCTATTCAGAGATCCATGACAGAACGCATGTATTTCATCTTGGAAAAAAACATTTGGGTGTTATCTTGTCACTGTATGTGTGTATATATATCTCTATCTATCTATCTATCTATCTATCTATCTATCTATCTATCTATCTATCTACAACCTGCTACATGCCAGCAGACATGGCATTTGCAGGCTGCCTGAGCTCTGCTTACAAGGTCAGTGTAGATACATAATGCTGGGTCTTGGGAATGCTTTAAATGACAAGCAGTTTTAAAAATCCCCACGTTGGGTCGAAAAAGAGACAGTCCTTGTCTGCTAGGCCTGCACACTAACTTGGATAGTGCATGGTGAGAGTTCAGAAAGGCATTTAATGGAATCACCAAGAAGAACCATAGAATTATTAAGGTTGGAAGAGACCTTAAAGATCACCCAGTCCAGCCATCAACCCAGCACTGTCACTGGTACCCCATAACCACTAAACAACATCACCCAGACACCTCTTGACTAACAGCTTAATAAATTAACACATGCATTAACTCTTTGTGTTCTAACAAAGTTAGAACTGTGGTCTAACCAGTGCTGAGTAGGGGAGAATGAAGTAAACACCGTCCTTGACCTGATGTTAGCTAAAGCAGCCTGCTGAAGGAGCCCAGGATATCAGCAGTCCCTTTGCTTGCAGGCCATATTGCTAGCTCGTGCCTAGCTTAGTGTCCATGAGGACCTACAGGTCCTATGCTGTAAATCTGCTTTCCAGCTGATTGGCCCTGAATATAACAGTGGTGTGTGGTTTATTTTCCCTCACACACAGGACTTCATACTTTCCCTTGCCAAACTCCATGAGGCTCCTGTCAGACCATTTCTCCAGCATGTCAAAGTCCACCTGCCTGGCAGTACAACCCTTTGGTATTACAGCCACTGTCCCACATTTGAATCATCAGCGAACTTGCTGAGGGTACACCCTGTCCCATCTTTCAGAATATTAATGAAGATGTTGAACAGAGCTGGATCTAGTACTAACCACTGGAGTACACTGTTAGTTACTGGCCTCTAGTTAGACTTTGTACCACTGACCACCACCCTCTGGGTCATTCAGCCAGTTTTCAATCCACCTCAGTAAGCACTAACAGAAGCTTTTGGCATCTTGTACCAAGCTCAGCTCCAGGTAGGCTTTGATTTCCCTAACCAAGTCTCTGCATGTTCAGCCTGTCTCATACTCCTCTCTTGTTACCTGTCCCTGTTTCCACCTTCTGTATGCTTTCATTTATGTTTGAGTTTTGCCAGGAGCTCCTTGTTCAAAAACACAGGCCTCTTGAGATCTTTGCCTGACTTTCTGCATTCTGGCATGAACGTGAGTGGAGGTGATCCTTGAATATTTTGTAGGTTTCCTGGACCCCTCTTCCCTCCAGAGCCCTTTATCATGGGACTTTTCCAAGCAGACCTCTGAATAAGTGACAGTCTGCTGGAGTCTAGGCCTGTGAACTTGCTTTTTACCCTGCTCCCTCTTCTCAGGATCTGAACTCCACCACCTCATGGTCACATGTCAAAAGAAAACAATGAAATTCATATTCCCCATGTGAATTTAAAATACTATAAATGCTGCAAATACTACCAAGGCTCGCTTTGACCATCACCCCAGTGAGTCCTTCTTCATTTATGTGTTAGAGCTCCAATGAAACACTTCTCATTGACTCTCACTTGTATCAAGAAGTTATCATTAATGCTGCTGGATTGCTTATGCCCTGCAATGTTGTCTCTCCAGAAAATATCAAGGTAGTTGAATTCCCCTTTAAGGATCAGGGTCTGTAAACATCAGGCTGCTTCTGGCTGTCTCTACAGGGCCCCATCTTCTTGTTGTTCCAGGTCAGGCAGCCCATAGTAGATGCCTACCAACAAATCACCACTGTTGATCTGCTTTTTAATCCTTACCCATAAACTCTCATCATTCAACCTCAGGCACTCCAAGCTCCATGCACTCCAGTTGCTCCCTCCTTGTCTTCCTGGCCAGCCATTCCTAAATGGTCTGTATCCCTCCACAGCAGCACTCAGTCCATCCATGGCATCCCTGGGATCCTGACAAGATCCTGCCCCTGCAGCTGCACACGGATCTCCAGTTCCTCATGTTTATGTCCCATGCTGTGTGCCCTGGTGTGCAGGCTCTTCAGAGAGACTTCCTCACTCACATTCAGTGCTCGAGGTGACCCCAGCTGAGCCCTGTTCATTCACGGTGTGTTCCTCATGGTTCACTTCACCCCAGCTGCTTTGCTTGGCAGCCTCTGCATCGCTCCCTCAGAGCTGCGCTAACTCCCCCTCCCCCAGGACTCCTGGTTTAAAGTCCTCTTTACCAGGTCAGCCACACTGCAGCAGATATGTGTGCAAAGATACCACTCCGCACCTGATATCAGGCTGATCTGCCTATTGTAAGACTGACACTGAAGACTTTCAGCTGGAGGAACCTCTGCTGTGAACCAGGAGAATCTGCAGAGCTGAGTAACCATATTCATGGTTCTATGAATCCCTAAAAAGTGAAGCGATCTGTAAGTGGCTTTTGCTGCTTTATTCCCCGTTCCTATTTGGAAGCAAATCTCTTTATGGAAAACAGACAAGAAGGAGTTAAGGTCTATTCCTATGGAACACATTAAGTTTAGAAATCTAAAAACACATGAAACGTTGAGGATATACATCCATATATGCAATATGTAATTCAGTAAACATGGTAAGAGCTAGCTCAGTATTTAATTATGAGCTGTGGTTAAGGGTTTTTTTCCCTTCCTGATTTGAAATAGAAACAGAAAAAAGGTTAGTAAGCACAGTCAGTGAGATGAAAGGAATAAATAAAAGGAGGAAGTAGAAGACAATGCCATTCCATCACTGCCTATTGTCAACTGACTAATTTTTTGCATAAAGTGTAGTTGCTTTTAGAACCTCCTGTGCCTGAGGTAGAGGACAAGCAGCTGCCCACAACTTTTACAAATAACATTTTACAAATTGTACCCATTAAAGATAGTTATTTCAATCTTTGCAGAGTGAACCATTTATATAATTAAAAAAACTATCATGATAGTAACAAAAACTTGACTGGCTTTGCCAGTCAAAAAGTACATAAACAATGATCTTATACTTCTGCTTTGCTTGGCCAATTGAGTTAGCCTATTTACTCATAGAGTATGAATTTTTTTCAAAGTCATCTAATGAACAGTGATGACATTTCATATTTGAGAGCTATTATCACCTGGACTCAAGCCTTCCTTCAAAAAACTGATGTTCGGAAAAATTATGACAGCAGCAACAGCAATCACTGCAGGGTCTGATAGAAGAAAGAGGAGATGACATCATATCCCTCGCTAGAGACACTGGAAAGAACAAATAAATTTCTAACAGAAACACAGCTACATCTTATTTTGTTTCAGCATTAAGGGTCTAAATGAACATCACCATTCAATTGTATTCTGGGCAAGAGCCCAAACTCATCTTTGCAGCAGTTGATTTTGAAACATTACAGTCAATCACATCTTCTCAATTTGTTCTTGCAGGCTTTCCCTATCCTTCTGGTTTCCATTTCTTGTTTGGAAGCCTTGAGTCATTCACCCTGGCAAGAGGACCAACCTAAATCAGTTATTTTCTCCGAATTATACTGAAATTGGGATCTTGCTTAGCTTGTTGTTTTCTTCCTCTGCCTTTCACATAATTTTCCCTTTAAGGATCTAATAAAGCTGATTGAAGGCATAAGCACAATATTCCCTTTCTTTTGTTGCTGTCAAACCCAAGGCATTTACCCACATTGTTTTATAATTGAAACAAAAAAACCTCTTAGGTCCAATTCTGCTTTCATTACCTCTGCATTATCCCAAGCATAAAAAAAAGACCTGGCTTTCATGACCACGTCAATTACATGAAACAAATGCACAATTTTCAGATTTTATGAAATGTTTTATTTAAACAAAGAGATTTGTAAAAAGGTGGGTGTTGTTCAAAAAGAGGAAGCAAATATTTCTAAATATAGTTAACTTTGCTTAAAATTTCATTTATGTCAGGAAAAAGGTACCTTTCATTTTCATGCTATGTAGCATGTTGTGAATTTATTACTAATAGAAAACAAATAACTGGACACAGGGCAATACTACTTTAACATAACTGTAATATAACTTTGTGTTGACTTAGCTGGATTTTTAAAAGATTTTAAATTCCCAGAAGTCGTAGAAAAACAAGCAAGTGCTTAGTGAAGGCCAGCACAAATTAGTACCTACCACTGAGAATAAGGGACTTATATTTAGCCATTTATTTTGAGAGCTGCAAGCCACTAACCAGTTCACACATCTAGTCCACCCTCAATCCCAGCATTTACAACAATTTCCCCAGCTGAGGAGGTATGCTATAGGGAAGGCTGAGTGTCATTCTGGGACAACTGGCACAGACTTCAGCATCTTGAAAAGATATTAAAGGTTGGACACATTCACAGAAAATCAGGCTTGGACACTCTTGCTCTCTAAAAAGATTTTTTT